GGGGGGGGTGCTGCTGGGGTGGGGTAGGGGTACACTTACACTTGTGAAACCACGGCCAGGATCACTGTGTGCTCAGAGGGGTTTGTGGCCCGGATTGACCTGTAATAAAAAACCTTCTGGTCAAAGCAGTGATCTGTGCCTTGTTACATTGAACTATTATGGAAGATTCTTTGCATTGAGAATGACACCAAATCAAATTGTCCTTTAAAGAAAAAGTTTCAGAACACACGAGACAGTAAAGAAAGACAACCTCGTGGATCAGGACAATATCTTTAATTAATTTATTTATTTAACTCCTGGGCAATTTTCCAAAAGGTCAGACTCGCCAGGTTTTTACTTCAAAATTGGCAAATTCCACTTAAATGTCATGTTTTCTGATTGAAATCTGAGTCTCTTTTTAAAAGCATGGCAGCATTACAGCCCTTTAATGATCAGCTTGTGCCTGGGTAGCTAACAAAGCTGGATTACTTTCCTTTCAAAACAATAGATCATACAGAAAGATGATCTAACCATAAAAGTTAAAGTATTTGCTGCAGACAGACAAATAAAGGCTACATCCTGTTAAAGACCATTCAAAGCATGCCAGTTATTCTGTTGTTTATGCTTATCTACTTTAAACATCTTGGTCGTCAGCTGGGCTTCAGAAAGATTAAATAGTAACTGTCAATCAAACTTGCTGACAGTTAATTTATTGCTTAGCAATTTTATTGTAGAATTTTGAGATTTATGAACTTTACAAGATTTGTGATGCTGCATGAAGTTGATTCTAGACAACTCTGGTCAGGACTTCATGAATTGACTGAGCTTTTAATCAAGAGCCACATTCTCGAGTCCGTGGAAATCAGCATTGACTGTTTCAGCCTATCCCTGTAGTCTGGTTTCCAAAATCTTTCTAAGAGGAGCCATTCTTCACCAAGGGCAGGAAGCCTACATCAGTCCCACTCCAGTGCTGACACTCATCACTTCCTGTTCCCATCCAACCTCCCACAGAGCAGCTTCCAGAAAACTCAGCTTACTCTAGGAGTCTGCTTACAGACCCTCAGAGAAGGACCAGCTCCCATCATATGAAAATAACAGAGTGTCTGAGAAAGCCTCTGCACCCCGGGGAGATGTGTACACACCTCACTTGCCTTTAGCCTCCCTCATCCAGTGATGTGCCGTGGGCACACTGCTAGGCCACCCTCTATGAGCCTGGACCTACTTACACAGAGGCTAATTCATGTACTGAACACAGTGAGCCTTCTTGACTTCCTTTGGGACTGGCATCTGCCTGTTGGGTTGCTTCTTGTTCTTGTGTTGAGGGGGACTGAGAGCTCTTCTTGGTGAAAGGACTAACGCAAATCTGGAGGTATGTAGGTTTGGGGTCAGTATGCTAAATGAAGGAAGGCTCAGTCTAGCTGAAAACCCCAACCCGGCCCTCAGATGACAGTAAGGAGCTCACACCTATTGGGACACGCCCCACTCTACACTCATTTCTGCATAGAGCACTGTTGCCTATCAATCATTTAAGAATCTGGCCACCCTCAAAGGGGTCACTAACAGTCAGCAGGCACATAGATGTGCCCAGCTTCCTTCTGAAGCACAGACTGCCCCTTGCTTTTCTGAGCAGCCGTAACATAGGCACGGACATCATGCTTCTTTATATTTAAGGAAGAATGCAATAATTACCTAACCTAGGCCTTAGGGGACACTTGTCTTGAATAATTTTACACCTGCACAAGAGCAGTAGCGTTTGATTACATAGCCACATGAGAAGAGTAAGTGAGGGCTAGGACTGAATTCTACCCTGAAAATCATTTATAAGGAAGATATATTTTATTTTGTTTGTTTTTTTGTTCTTTGAGACAGCGTCTTGCTCTATAGCCCAGGCTGGCCTTGAAATCATAGCACTCTCCCTGCCTCACTCTCCCAAGTGCTAGGGTGACTGATATGTTTCACTATGCCCAGTTAGGGGGAAAAAAAAGTGTTTCTTAACAGTAAAAGTAGCATCATATATATGATATATAGGCATTACATATATAATTGTTTATATATGTAATAATCAGGATATATATCTATACATACAGGTCTTACTCAATAGGAAAATATTTCTATGGAGAAAGATAAGATTTACAACTATTTAGTCACTTAAACACTAGTTAATAAACAACAATTCTTTGGGAAAATGCATGCCATCAAAAAATAGTAAGACAATGCCTTTGACTAAAAAAAAATTTCTTATCAATTAATATTTTGACCATAGATCAAAAGTTTCAAGAATAAATTTATTTAGTAATACTCAATAAAAGTCCAGCCCCATACGTAGCTGAATTCTGCCCTGTCCTCACTCTAATTAGTGACCTCTTCCAGGCTAACACCCCAGCATTCCACTTCTGCTCAATGGCTCTGTTCATCCTGAGCAAACTCTTAAGCCTGTGCATCTGTTTATGAATGGGCAGGCACCTGCTTCCTGGAGTGCACAGAGTTCTACTAACAAGGGGGGCGTTAGTAGACAAGGGGGGCCCGTCTACTAACAAGCCTCTGCTGCCAAAGCGGCTGCCTTCTTCCCTCCACGTCTGGGGAGCCTGCTGCAGGATCTACCCATCTGTGTCACGTATGGAAAAATTTCTGTTTCACACATTTCTGATGTTCATTTTAGGACAGAATAATGAAGTTTAAAATATCTACTTTAAATCTAAACTGCCTGTAATAAAAACTGTATGAATTTTAATGACTTTTATGAGCAGTACTTGGGAGGGGTGGGGGACCAGCTTTGAGTTTTAGGATGAGTCCAGCTGACACCTTTAAACTCAATGCAATTCAAATGTGCAGGAATAGGCAAGATGCAGGAAGGAGCTGTCGCCCATGGTCAGGGCTGGAACCAAAGCTATCCCCAGAGGACATTGAGAGTAGATGGGGGTGGGGGTTACTGAGCAACCCACAGGGAGAAAGGCACCCACCTACACACCGCTTCTGCATCGAAGTTCCAGGTTTGCCTGTGATCAATCACGATAATTTCATGATGCTTGTCCAGAAAGCACTCCAGGGCCGACTCTGGGGTTCGGGCAATGTTGCATCTGTAGCCAGCTCTGTCACAGGCCCACCAGAAGCCATCACTCTGGCTATCTTCCTTTGCAAAGATTAGCAAAACCTGAAACAGAAAGTAGAGCATCTTGAACTGAAATCCCTACCCTCAGAACTGCACTGAAAACAGGTCATGGATACACTGGCTGAACACAGGGCTTCAGAGGAAAGCTTTCAGGGTTCAAACCCAGCTCCTCCCATAATTCCTGGAATCGCCAAACAAGCTATTTTATCTTCCTGGCCTGACTGGAAGCTAGTTGGGGGGACAGAGAATTGGACACAGGTATATGCTCAGTTGTTCTAGTAAGGGCTGGGTGTTGCTGGCTGCAGAAGAAGTTTTCTTACAGCCAGGCCTATTTTTAAGCCAGAGAAACACAAAATTACTGACAGGATAAATAATGTGGGCTGTGCAGGTTACAGGATGATTTGCAAATATACACATCTGGTCCAATGCAAATGCTGTTTGCTACCAAGTCCCCGGAGGCTCTCTGTGCTCACCACTAAAACAGCTGCAAAGACACAGGAAGTAAAGAGCTGACAACAACCTGAGAGATTAGTTTAAACGTCCAAACTCTTGCCAACATGGGAAAGACTGAATGTGAACTGTGAAGCTGGGGGAACCAAACTGTGAAGTGCAGCCCCACCCATGAAAAAGAAGGCTCGTGCATTGCACAGATGCTCCTCAGCATTCCCGGGCTCCGGAACTCAAGAGTCTGGAAGTTGGGAAGCCAGGGAACCACCACTTGGACCTATTTAGGGTCTAACTTGTGCACTGAGAATGAAGCCTCAGGGAAGCGAGGGTGGCCAGGACTGCCATGCCCCTCTATCCAGCAGAAGGATGGTGCTTGTGAGCTGCCCAGTAAACACTTGACAGCTGAGACAGTAATGACTTATAGGGTTTTACCAGAGCCACAAGAAGGCTGTTTCTACTTTTGTTTTTGAGAAAAGGTCTTGCAGGGAAGCCCCAGGTAGTCTTGGATTCACAGCCCTTGAGCCTGCTGAGTAACTGGATTACAGGCGTGTGCCACTGGAAAGACAGAGGAACCACTGTGGAGGTTTATTATGATGATCACAGAGGGAGAGGGATACCCCTCAGCAACACCGCACAATACGAGGACAGAACAGCCACAGACATTGCTTAAGCATTTCATATCCTCCAGCATCCATTTTGGTTAAATGATTAGGACTAGAACAGTAGTCTTTCAGTGTGAAGGGCTTTGAGCACAATACCACTGGTCATGATAAAACACCTGAAGTGTTTCGTTCATAATCAGTACAGAAGCAAGCGGAAGTGCCCAGCTGCTACCATTATGTTTTAAAAATGCCTTCTTGCTTGAACACGAGGAACCCACAGGGAAGTAGACACAATAATATAATGAATCTCACCCGCCGATCAATCAGTGGCAGCAATAGCCAATGGCTGGCTAATACAGGTTAGCTCTCTTCCTCCTTTTCTCCCAGCGGCTCTCAACCTTTCCAATGCTGTGACTCCTTAATATGGTTCCTCATGTTGTGGTAACCCCAACCATAAAACTATTTTAATGGTTACTTCATAACTGTAATTTTGCTATTGTTATGAATCAGAGTATAGAAATTTGATATGCAAGGCCTGTGTGGGGTCACAACCCACAGGTTGAGAATCATTACTCTATCCCAAATCTTGTGTTTGTAGCAAATCCAGTTAACATACCCCATCTACACACGTCTGTTAAACAGAAAGCTTCACTTCTATAAGAACAAAACCACAGTATTACTTCATTCCCCCTGGTAACCCCTGAACATCAGTAATATCCAAATATATCATATATGTCAATCATCTTACACTGAATCATGTTCTGCTTTCTCAAATATCATGCTTCCAGAAGCAGAATAATATATACTTTTCAGCATGATTTTAACATTTTTTTTTCAGCACATGGTTTAAAATCATCCGTCACAAAACATGTACTTTCTTAGGGCTCGGTCTGGCCAGGGTCTATCACTCTTCAGTCTGGGACACTCCTAACCTTTGCAGACACTGATGTTGAAAGAGGCAGGAGGTGGCTCTCCTGAGACAGGTGAAGGGCACCTCCTTGTGGGCTACAGTAATGGAAAGAAAGCCTTCAGACCAAACTGTTGCTCTGGCAAGGACAATGAGGAAGGTCAGGTAGAAGCTTGCTTGTGCAAAAAGGCATTAGCTTCCTACTCGGAACAACTGTGATATTAGGACAAGAAACAGCAGAAGCTGAGAGCCGGAAGCTGACAGAATCTTTTCTCTCTCTTCTGTCTGGTCCTTTCCTTGTGATTATTATGGCTCAATACTGACTAGGGCAATATCAACACAAGTCTGCCCTCTCCTATTGGGCCATGCCACAGATTCCAACCAATCTTACTTAATTTATGTGTTTTTGCATAAGACTGGAATGCCTCACTTTAAAAAAATTAGCAAGGGGCATTATTCTACAAATGTTTCCTAAACACCTACTATATTTTTTAAATCCTGCTAATTTTTTAAATCACTTGTTGGAGAAAAGAAAAACTTGGGCTTGTTTGTCATGGTAAAGAGCAAATAATTGGCAATATGCACACTGAATAATGAGACTTGGCAGGTTAATAAGTGACGAATGCCATCTAAATGGAGGGTGCCAACATAAAGAGGAGGTAGGCGGTCAAGAAGCAGGTGTCTAAAGTAAAGCTGTCCAGGCAGAACTCTGGATGCCCTAAGACACAGTTCTCAACCCTTCAAATACCCTCATGTTGTGGTCATCCCAACCATAAAAACATTTTTGTTGCTACTTCATAAGTGTAATTTTGCTACTGTTATGAATCATGATGTAAATGTCTGTGTTTTTCAATGATCTAGGCAACCCCTGTTGAAAAGGTCAGTTAAGTTCCAAAGAGATTATGACCCACAGGTTGGGAACCATTGCCCTAACCATCCCTGACTGTGTCTAGGCTGTCTGAGCACCAGTGTGACCTAGTGTGACCCAGGTGAAATGGTAGAGGAAGGATGGGAAAAGATCAGGATTAAAGCAGAGGGCTAGATCATGGTAAGGCAATGTAGGCCGATTTACAGGCAAAAAAAACTAGGCATAAGGTTGGTTTAAATTAGAGACTCTATTAACCATGTTGTAACAGCTAATTTTGGTTATCAACTTGGCTACATCTGGATGCAACTAAACCCAAACAACTTGGGCACAGCTGTAAGGAATTTTCTTGAGTGGATTATATGAGCTAAAAAGACCCACCCTAAGTCTAAGCCACACCTGCTGCTGGCAGCCTCCAAAAAGGAAATAGAAGAACGAAACGTTTGCTTTTTGTCTGCTTGCCCTCATTCTTGCTGGCAAGTTCACCTGTCCTGTGGCTGAAGCTTTCCTTCGATGGCGTTAGAACCTACTTCTCTGGGATTCCAATGCAGACTGAAGGCCAGCAGCTCTCTCGGATCTAGGGACTCCCACACCTGATGGGGCTGCTGAGACACTCCGTCTAAACAATTACTGACTTTTTGGCTTTTTGATCTATCAGCAGACAGCCATTGTTAGAGTACTCAGCCCACCAGCCTGTAAGCCACTCAGATAATTCCCCATGTACATCATTATGACTCAGTACTGACTAGTCCAACAAGAGTCTACTCTTTCCTACCGGACCATGCTACAGATTACAACCCATCTTATTCATTTCATGTGTTCTTACAGAAGACTGTAATGTTCTACTTTTTGAAAAAACAGAAAGAGGCATTATTCCACAAATATTTCCTGAATGACTACCATGTACCATATGCACATTTGTGTGTGTGTGTGTGTGTGTGTGTGTGTGTGTGTTTCTTTTTCATTCTATCAGTTCTGTTCCTTTATGGAACTCTGACTAATACACATCTTTCTGATGTTTTGATACCTGGAGTTTTGACACCAGGAAGACAGCATTGCTCAGTTAATGAATTCCTTGAGATAAAAAATGACAGTCCAGGACTATTTGTGGAGATGACCTGGAACCCCTGCACAGGTGTAGCCCATGGCAGTTCAGTGTCCAAGTGGGTTCCATAGTAATGGGAAGAGGGACTGCCTCTGACGTAATCTGATTGGCCTGCTCGTTGATCACTTCCCCCTGAGAGGGGAGCAGCCTTACCAGGCCACAGTAGAGGACAATGCAGCCACTTTTGATGAGAACTGATAGACTAAGATCAGAAAGAAGGAGAGGAGGACCTCCCCTATCAGTGGACTTGGGGAGTGGCATGCATGCAGAAAGGGGAGGGAGGGTGGGATTGGCAGGGGAGGAGGGAGGGGCTCATGGGGGGATACAAAATGAATAAAGTGTAATTAATAAAAAAAAATAAAAGATTTAAAAAAAAATGACAGTCCAGGTGCTCAGCATTTGTATGCATCCTCAACACACACACACACACACACACACACACACACACACACACACACACA